GTATATAAATGAAGCTGCTTTGCTTGAATCTTGAGGATTATGCTTGTTATCCTGTGTCATGTGGTGTAGAGTCATATACACACCCAATTTGTTTTGCATCTCTCCTGCTTTCTTTGATATATGATGTGTTGCAGGCAAATCCTCCGTGTGAAGTAACAGTAATTCTGAGTTTTGACACTATGAATCACAACTGCTGGCCAAGAAACAGGCAAATGGAAGTGAGCAACAGAAGTGCACAAGGGAGGAACTGTACAAAGGTCTATATCTTGCACATTAAAGAACAGTTTGCTTGTGTTTTAGAATATGGGAAATAGTAGAGCCAGTTGTTACTGTGTTCATTCATATTTTAAAAATTTAGTTATCAGTCATGAGTACATATCCTCCAGTGACAAAATTAGAGTAGAATATGATATTTTAGAATGGATAACACAATTGAAACATCTTTAATTCCAAGTAAACTTCAGTTTGTGTACAGTTCTGCTGCTAACTAAGGTTAGTATTCAACATTCAGTGAGTTATGGAAAAATTATTGCCACTGTATGATGCTTTAAAAGAAGGATCTACAAAATAAATCCTGCTTTCCATAGCTTTTCATCATCTTTTGCAACTGCTGTTTGTCTTATCTATTGTTAGCATAGGCATTATGTTTTTAATTACAGAAGATTCTTTATCAGTGATCTTTAGCAGTCAGCAACATTGTGGCACCACAGCACTCATCAGATTTTTGTTGTGTTTTAAGACTGCTGAGAGTAAAGAAAGCTCTCACTTTTGGGATGAGGGAAGTGATTAAAATGCATTTTGTTTTCTGGTAAACAAGGAAGATATCCTGCTTTGGTATAGAAGTAGGCTAAAAGTTAATCTTTTCCCCCTTCCAAACACAGTCCTCAGGAAAATCCTGTGTCAGGGTATCAAAAGTGGACCCTTGGTATTCACTGGAGTTTGGTTCCAAGAACTCCTGTAGATACCAAAAGCCATGGATGCTGAAGTCCTATTAAAATACAATGGGTATAGTAAAATCTCAAAACCACATTCCAGGAACAAACAGTTGATTAGCTTGTTCATAGTAAAATGTTTCCCTTTCACCTGAGACCTCTCTGTAAGAAGTGGACAGCAGAGTAAAGTTTACTTTTTGTTACTTAAGTTTTGTTTGATTTGCCAAAGGTGCATCAAAGAAGTCAGAAGAGGAGAAAATGTGGGAGCATAATTGCATATTCTGAATACCCCCAAGATTTCTGTGACAAAAATGTATTGGCGAGACCTGTGGATTCATAGGGGGTATGCAAGAAAAAACCCTCTATAACATACTCTTGTCTTTGATAGCTATTTTAAACAAGTTACAAAAAGGCAGTATATGTCTCTGTGAAGGTTCTATTAAACATGAGCCAAACAAGGGTTGTATTTCATAATTTGAAGGTTTTATTACATTAGGCAGGAGCTAAATAAAGGCAGTTTGTTTCTGCAATGGGGAAAAAAGAGGTTGGATTAATAAACTATACACAATGAAGATGATGAACAAAAATGAGGCAAGTAAGCTGAATAGCAATTCTACAGGGGATAAAGATCAGACTGTAGTAATGTATAGATTACATAGGAAGCACCTCAGGAAAATGATTGACAGAGGATTTGATTTTGAAAGAAAAAAGTCACCATATTTCTTGTATGTACTGGCCTGAACTTGGAAAACTTCCTTTTTTTGGACAGAAGATTGCAGAATCTCCAATCTTGGGAGTTATCCAAACATAACTTTTTAAAAATTTCATACTTGGGTAGTTTGACTATGGCATGGCAGGAGCCAGGTAGGCTGTGTATTTTAACACTTTGATTGCTAGATGATAGTGCCTGTGTAGATTGCCTCATACTGATCGCTTAAGTTTTAGTTTGTTTACCAAGTGTTGACAAAACAAAAACACTGTATTATTTGAGGCCATAATTTGTACCAGCTTGTATCAAAAGAATGCATTGTAAGAAAGCCTTACTCACAGGGATCAGCAATAACTGTACTACTGCTTGGGTGAAAAAAAGATGAACTACCTGTTCAGGTTAGATTGGCGGCCCTGGTGGAAAATCAGCATTGATTAGAAGATTAATTGAACAAGGAGGCAAATGTTTCCACTATAGTATTATGTTGGCCCTACTAAAGAAATGCATTAAGATCATTTTAGGTCCCACCTATTAGTATGGATAGCCTTCAGTATAAGCTGTGATACTTCATAGGTGTTGGGTAATCAGGACAAGATGACAGTCATTATAGGAAACATACTTTTGAATATTTTTACTTGCATGTTTATTTTTCTGAAAGTTGTCACTGATTTTTATGTAAGCAGCTTTATGTATGGGCGTGGCAGAGAACTTTGTTTGAAATGTTAACCACTCTGTGAAATGTACACAATTATATTTATTTAGTTCTTTAAACTATAAATGCACTTGTGGCATGATGTGGGTTGCAGTAACCTTCTAGGTCCAAGAGTCTCATCTTTATCTGGGCTTTGATTATTCCTGTAAAATCAGTGTATATACTTAAAAAGAATAATGACTCAGTCTGCCTGTCTCCATGAATTGAGTGTGTATTTTCAACAGACTGATACTCTTTGTCATAATGTCCACTGGCAAAGAGCTTCTGTTTCCAATTAGATGCAAGGCCAGGATCTCCCACACCTTTTCTGTTTTGTCAAATCACTTCATTTGGTCTGAGAATAGCACTCAGTATCCTAGTTCACTTGCAGAGCAGAAGCTGTTCTGTTTTGGAACTGACTGCTATACTTCAACTGAACAGTTGCAACACCCTGTAGCTGTCTAGTCACAGTTAATATTAGCATAATTTGCTCTCTTTTATTAGTATGGTAATTCTGTTTATCATGTTAAAGTGCTGTATCAATAGCTTTCATATGTTCCTGCTAAGTTTCTAAATCAGCACTGCTTATCTGTTTAAGGCTGAGCTATAGATTATAAAGACCTTTCAGTAGATCTGAATGCCTGTACTGGCTTATTAGGATAAGAAATCAATCCAGCCTCATAAATTTGTCCTAAACTAACCTTGGGTTGTTTTGAGAACTTTGTACTGTATACTTTCACAAGCACTGGAATGTATACAGCAGAGTAAAGAGAGATCAGACAGTGTTAGATGAGCAAACTGTAGCTAAAACAAACAGAACTGACGTCCCAGAATGGTAAGATTAGAAAAGTAGGCTGCACAACACTCAAAGATTATTGAATTTTCAGACTGGAAGGAGATGCACCAAAATGTTAAGTTAGCCATTACATGCCCAACACCTACAAAGTATCACAGCTTATACTTTAGGTCAGGGGTAGGCAACCTTTCTCCTTTAAGGGCTGAGGGACTTCAGCTCCCAGAAGCTTCAGCCACATTGGCCAATAGTCCAATGTTGGCCAATAGCTCCTGGGATTCTGGGAGCTGAAGTCCCTCGGCCCTTAAAGGGGAAAGGTTGCCTACCCCTGCTTTAGGTTCTCTAAATACCAATACTAATAGGTAGGACCTAAAATCCATCTTAACACATTTCATTAGTAGGGCCAACATAACACAGTCCATAGCTAAGTCTAAAAAGAAATGACATTCTTCAGTTAATAGGCAGGAAAAGAAGATTGTGCAGAGTGGCTTGTAATCTATATGATTTTATCATAAAGATACAAATTATCACATTCTTGCCAAAGGTGTGTGAGAGAGTGCAACTGTGCAGTAGAAGGTCCCACACCAGTGACTCTAAAAGGAAAATATCTAGGGAAATCCAGGGCTGGCACTTGCCTAGCCACTAAAGTAGCAGACCTAATCCCTAACCAAGCAGGCTCTATTCTACTCTGTAGTATATGGAGCTCCAGGATGCTTCAACACTTAGGAGTGTTTAGGGCTTCCATTTGTCAAAATATATGGTTTGCCCAAACATTTTTCTTGGTATCGGAATAGGCCATATCCCACCATTGATGAGGCTGAACTGGAGTTTTGC